CTTTATTAATGAAAATGATAGCTGTTAAAAAAATGTTCAAAACAAAGAATATCTTGACAATGACTACAACGAAGAAACGGATAACCATCACAGTTATTGGTCGAGCATTGATCTGCCTTGAAATTGAAGCAAACCTGGTTCACATTCAAAAATGACGGATCATGAGTGCAGTAATGCCTGATATCTCGCAAAAATAGATATCAACAAAATACACGAGATATTAGTGAAACACACGAGATTCTAGCGAAACAGCCGAGAAATCAGTACAATGCCTCAAACATTAGTGAAATAACCGCGACATTAGCGAAATACACGAGATATTAGTACTAAAAGGTGAGATTTTAGTGAATACATGAGACATTAGCATATTAAGTTCGATATTCGAAATACACGAGATTTTAGTAAAATACACGAGACATTAGCGAAATACACGAGATATTAGTAAGGTTCGACATTATTTCTCAGTACTCCTTTCTCGTTCCTAATATAGTAGTGGCGGGGGGGGGGGAGGGGAGAGTATGAGAGTGAGTAGCGACATGTGTTCACTAAAATCTCACCTTTTAGTACTAAAATCTCGTGTATTTCAAATATCGAACTTAATATGCTAATATCTTATGTATTCACTAAAATCTCACCTTTTAGTACTAATATCTCGTGTATTTCGCTAATGTCTCGTGTATTTTACTAAAATCTCGTGCATTTCAAATATCGAACTTAATATGCTAATATCTCATGTATTCACTAAAATCTCACCTTTTAGTACTAATAGCTCGTGTATTTTACTAATGTTTCAGGCATTGTACTGATTTCTCGGCTGTTTCGCTAAAATCTCGTATGTTTCACTAATGTCTCGTGTATTTTGTTGATATCTATTTTCGCGAGATATCAGGCATCCCTCCGTGATTGTGAAATCATTGGTACAAAAGCATCAGATACATTAGTACTATAATGCCCATAATCATATGCTGCTGGTAAACTTGTCGGCCCCGTTCTGTTATGCTTACAAGAACCCACAGGTCGATTTCCCATCACGAAGCACGTCTTTTATGCTTCAAATGTCATCGCAACTTGCAGTAAATCCGGCAAATTGGACAAGTCGTTAATCGAGTATTGGATACGGGAAGTCATTGACGACGTTGCGAACAATCGGTTTCTTCTGTTAGTCGACCAATGGTCAATTCAAACAGATCCTTCCATATGTGACGAAAATTTGACGAACGGACAATCTTGCAGACTGGTGGTGATTCCACTAATTATAGATATATATACTACTGAGTTATAGATATATAAACTTATGCAATTGGATACAGTTGTTATCAAAGCAATAAGTGTGTCTCTCGGTGTAATTTCACATGTTTTTTATGAAAATTTTGTCCAGTAATATATTGTATTTAGCAACAGAAGAGTGTAAGTGTCTTTGAACCCTTGGATTTGACATGTTTGGTTCTCAAGTAACTCCAGATATTACAAATATCACTTTTCGAGCCGAACACGGTTTAATAATGCCTTCGCATGATCGTTTTTAGAAAACTTTTCAACTTGGTTTTTTTAGAAATCTTTTCAGTCAGTACACTTTGGCTTGTTTTGAAAGTTTTGCAATTCCAACGTGTGTTCAGTTTTGTAGTTGTATTCGATGCCTTTTATCAAATAGATTTAGTTGCTTTCTCAAGCAGGATATATGAAACTTAAAAAAATTGAAGTTTTCAATTCTTAAAATTCAATTTAAAAAATTCCACTATATTATTCCATGAAAAGCGCGACGCATGAAGTACAAGACGCATACTTGTTGTATTTTTGTCCTTTTCTCCTCACCTAGAGTCAGAAACATATCAAATCATTTTTCTTTATTGAAGAACATTGCAACAATCATAATAGGAACCAAGTTAAACAATTAGAGAGATTCCTTTTTATTTTATGAAATAAAAGAATAAGATTATGATTGCTATAACAACAACATTTTTGTAAAGGGTATTGTTTTTGGAGGGGTGGGAGAGAAATCGGCAAACCGCAATTATGCTATCACAACGAGAAAGATGCTGCATCCACGAGAATTTTGAATCTCTTCATAGAAACTCTTTCTTCTCGCATTATTCTCGTGTACTAGGGAAGAAAACGTTTCTATGAAGAGATACAAAATTCTCGTGCAGAGACCATAATACCCTCTAGAGTACAGGAATAATGCTCACACAAAAGAGCATCATTCCCGTGCAAAAGCATTATTCTCGTGGACTAGGCAAGTAAAACTTTCTCCGCAGTGGTACAACATTCTCGCGAAGATAGCACAGTACGTTTGAGATTTAGGGATAATTCTCACACGAAACAGCATAATTCTCGTGTAAAAGCATTATTCTCGTGGACTAGGCAAGAAAAAGTTTCTATGAAGAGATACAAAATTCTCGTGTAGAGACCATAATTCCCTCTAGACTAGATGCATAATTCTCGTGTAAAAGCATTATTCTCGTGGACTAGGGAAGAAAAAGTTTCTATGAAGAGATACAAAATTCGACTGAAGGTGGTATAATATGTTGGAGATTTGGGTATACTTCTGACACAAAGCAGCATAATTCCCGTGCAGCACTGAGGGAAAAGGCAAAATTGACATATTGCAGTTTTCTCTCCACGCAGAAGTAAGTTGTGCCAGTTTCTTAGCAAAATTCTCGTGGGACGAACATAATTTCGCTTTGACGATTTCTCTGCCACTGCTGTTGTTGAAAACAGACGACTATGAATACAGTATTCTGGTTCATAAGTTGCCAGCCACGCATCACTAATGAATGAAGTACATTACTATAAACTGTACAGCATACACTTTCCGCCCAACAGAGAAGGATTCATATTCTTACTATTAACTCTTGCTCGACCTAATTTAAGATTGAAAGCTTAAAAAAAGTAAATGATTTCAAACATACGTCGTTTGCTGTATTTTGCAACTGGTATCATTAGAACAATGCCTCAAATGTGATTCATTTCAGATAAAGTATAAAAAACTGTAGTGAACTGCTCGCTCGTTTCATTCATTATTCTTTTAATTCAAAATAGTCCAACAATGCTAGACGATGAACAAGAGTTTGGACAAAAGGATCCATCATTATACAAATGTCTATAAGGAATTCTTCGTCGGTATCCACAAGGTGGGCAAATATTAAAAGTTAATATACTTTCCATTAATAACTTCTCTAGTGCTAAAGAAATGAATCTGTAACAACCATATGCCATTAGGTTCTGTTGGTTTCTAAGTTTTTCCATCGTAATTCAAACAATATAACGTCTTCTTTTAGGAACTGATTCAAAATGCCAAAGATGCGGGTGCTGACACCATTCGGTTCTATATCGATCGTAATACATATCCAACCAACACTTTGCTTCATCAAGGATTGACTACATTCCAGGTAATACATTTATGGCTCATTAAGGACGCTTACTTCTGACAATAAATATACAATGAAAAAAGTATCGCTCTTCCTACTATAAGACTTCGACGTTTATGCGCGTATATGGAATACTGATAACTGCAAAAAATTCAGCTCGATCGGATATTTCTTCGCTAAAATATCAGTCTTTTCCCAGATTTAACTAAAGATATCCTTCAAGATCTTATCGGTTCAAAAAAAACAAATTGAAAATATATTGTGGAAACACAATCAGATATTTCATTCAGCCCCAAGAATAATCAATATATCACCTCAGACAGCAGTCAAAACTGCAGACCATTCTCCAATCTAATCGAAACAATATCCGGCGCCTTTGAAAGACCAACAAATCAAAATGGAGAAGATAAACAAACTATTGGAACGTAGACAGATTGAAGAGTCAACAACTCCGTGGCCGTCGCCAGCTGTATTAGTACAAAAGAAGGACAAAACCGTAAGATTTTGTGTTGATTACCACCGACTCAATGAAACCACAGTATCATACTATGACTTTCATAGTTTCATACTCTATTCACCTAAGAAGAAGTAGTGCAATGCTGTCTTGTAACTCACTCTCATGTTGCCGGCACCCTCCTCCCCCTGCGCCCCCGGGTAGTCAAGTATGATAGTGTGACCTATTGAAGTGATACTGTGAAATTCATAGTATTGCTGTGGTAGGGTGAAACTATGAAAGTCATATTATGATACTGTGAAAATGTGAAAGTGTGTTTCTGTGGTACTGGTATCGTAAGTCGATACTATGAATTCATGTTTATACTATAGACCTTCACTGTATCAATCAAGTAGTGAAAAACGTCTCAGAAACCGAGTTTTTCAATTTTAGAAACCCTATAAGTCGGTAAAGAAAGGTCTAAAATAAAATTCCAGAACGTTACCTTTGCAATAGTGTCTTGAGTACTGCTGGTAAAATTTTGAACTTGATCGGATGAAGTTTAAGGGGGGGGGGTCATAAGCATGGTAGCAAAAAAATAGTTTTCGAAACAAACGCATTTTGTACACATGTCACTTTTTCTGGGCATTTGCCACAATGGTTGTATTTTCACGAAAACTCATCAGAAAATTCTGGGAGACGTCTCATTGTGAAAAAAACACTTCCTTCTATCAGACTATGTGTAAGAAAAATTTTGAATATGCACAAAAAGAGAGAAAAGTTTATGAAACTAAAAAAACGAGCTTTTTCAGGCTTTGAAGGAAAAACTTCAAAAATGCAAACGTTTTGAAGCAAGACTCTGGAGTGTTGGGAGTGGTCTGATTTTGTAGCCCATACTTTCCTCTACACTAGGCTATGCTCAGCTCAAAACCCAAGATTTTTTCAAAAAAGAAGATGGGGGTTAAAAATCAACTTGCACTCAGTTTCTTACAGCAAAACATCTTCGAAACGCATCTTGTTTTGATCGACCAAATATGCACCGAGCGAGAATAATGCTGCTAAGGCGAAGTACGTAATAGAATTTGTCAAGGCAAAAAAGCAAGCAAATATATATGCTCGTTTCAATGATGATCTAAAAACATAAACAATGATGGTTATGAGTACGGGAAAGTTTGCGCGGCACTCTGTTCTATTTACCTTTATGGAATTTCCACTAAATGGGCATATTCATTCCCAAAATGCTCTGCTTGTGTTAATTGTGCCACAGTACGAATGTTTTGGATGACTTCTACAGTCACCTGTGTAAGAAAAAAGCATGATATAAAAAAGTAATGATAGTTTAGCTCAATACCTTTCCAGCGTTTTCTAGAGCCTTTTTGTCTTTGCTTGCAAACTCACTAACTAGTTTTGATTGTAAAAATTCACCAATACCGATAAGTGGAATAAATCCGAGAAGCATTAGTGTTAGTGCCCAACCATAAACGAAGCCGAGTATAATACCTACACCAAGACTGGAAAAGTTTTGAAGCAAAAGACCAATTCGAATACCCGTTGCACCTTGAACGGCTGATGCTTCTACGGCTAAACGTGTACACAATGCTCCGGTATTATTTTTCTGATCATCAAAATAAGCCATATCTTGTCTTAATATAACTCGAAATACTTTAGATCGTAAACGTTTTGTTAACTTTTCTCCACTATTCGTGATCTACGTACAATGATAACGTACAACGTAACTATGTAAAATGATACGTTCCATAATTGTCAGAGACGGAAAATGACTGCTGCACATCTACCGGAGTATTCAGCATTCCAAATATGATCTGTTTAAAAATCAGCTAGCATGTGACATTACGTAGCAGGGGATTCTTATAAGAGTTGCACTAATTGCGGTACCATAAGTTAATGTGATTTATGTAATGCATTTTGTCCAAATATTTAACAAACTACTTAGTACAGTACCATTAATCACATACATTTCTGGTCATTAATCCAACTATTCCATTACACAGCACCACGTAAACCAAAACGATTTCTTCAGAAAACACAAAACGTATTTTTCATTCCTCCAAATACGGATCTGACATGAGTTTTTTGAATATTCTCACGGCTAATTCTTTTCCATTTTTGCAAAGGCTGAAATTGAGCTATTTACTTTTCAGCTACCTATTTGAGATACTAAACTTTAAAATATCTGAAAAGCAGAATACTCCTAGCATAACGAACAATACTCCATGAACACGGCTTGGGGCGGAGGAGGTGCGGTGGATATGAGAGTGAGTACATAGACAACATCTCACACGTTACGTTCCTAAAGAACAGTAACTATATGTATGGAAAAATTCATAATATGTTCACTTTGCTTTTGCAACAAAATGTGATATTTAAGTCTCGTTGTACATTTTGGCAAAAAATGGGGCAGAAATCATGGATTTTTCGATCTCGTTTATGAAATTTACACCTTTGTTTAGGATTTTAACTCCATGAGTTAGGAATTTTGCATAGTTCTAGCTTTTGTCAGTTTTGAGATGCTTTATAATCGAGTACCTCAGACCTATGTAAGTTCATTCACAAATTGTGAATGTGAATCATAATTAAATGCTTGGACATTTGTTACTCTTGAATAGCTCTCAGATTCTTTTGCCAAAATTGGATGTTATCATAATACGGATACAGAATGTATCTACTTCAATTCTGACGCGTATTTTTGTGTGTTTTGTATGCGAAAGTTTACGATTCTCATCCATGCAGAGCGTCATGCATATAAAGTTCGAAGATTCACTCAGACTTCTCAGAAGTCTGTTAAGTCTATCAAACGAGAGATATATTGACACTTTTCATTTCAAGATTCTTACTTGCTGCTTCAGCAGGCACGCAGCCAGGATTTTCGGAGAGGGGGGATTAATTTTCTTTTTATCGATTTCCCATAGGAGTATTTTTCGTCTTAGTGAATTATTTAGAATTTATTCTTGTTTATCTTTACTTATATATGACTATGACTTTTCGAGTAGTTCTCGTTTCGCCGAAAACTCACCCTCACACCGCCCTTTGATGTTCTTTGAAGTTAAGTTTGAAAATTAGGTAAACTTAAAACATGTCAATCGCAAAAAAATTATTGTATAGTGAATTCTATGTGAAAAAGTACTTCTTTTTGCGCTTTGAAACAGGAAAAAGTGATCTGATAGTGGTATCTAGAAAGTCTGATTAGTCACAGCTTTTATGGATGGTGATTTATTCAATCAGCCTTCATCCATGAAATGTATTTTCCTTTTTTGGAGAGGACTATTTTCTGAAGCTGTTATTTGGAGGTAAAAGGAAACAATATTTAGATTTAAAGAAAAAATTAGATAGAATTAGGTAGCCATAAAGCTAAAATACAAAATGAAGATGGAAAGAGAGCTTTCTGTCTCTCACTCTTAATTCTAATATGCGCGAAGTTTATTTGCTGTCTAAGTTAGAAAAACGGACAAGAACAACAACAGTATAAAGTGCGTCTCTAAGAACCAGTTTTGAATAGTCATATAATGATACTGTTCTTTCTCTAATACAAGAACTGTGGCTTTTTTCTCCTTTATACAACTTGTCAGTATGGGTATGCGTCGTTGAATTTTTATATTTATTATTAAGTTTTATATTTTTCCAATCGTGAACTATATGCAAAAAGGAAAATATAGTTCATGACGGAAAAAATATAAAACTTAATTTGTTAGTGAACAAAGTCTTTTTTATGCAAAATAAAGTTGATATTCATGATCTAGATAAGAAGCTGGGTAGATTGCTTATAACTTTTGAAGGGAAAGAGCTAGCGACCTGCGTTTCTCAGATTCTGAAACTAGACACTTTGTGACGTAAACCCAGGGTTGCCATATCTTAATTTTTAAATGGGGTTTAAAGATTTTGAATGGGTTACAATTGAGGTACGCTTCTTTTTTACCTAAATTTCTGAAAGCATCTTTCTCAGATTCACCATTAAATACTGAACATGAGAATGATACTTGATCGAGGTCGAAGTCAAAGGTCTAAATAGTATACGTCTTGGGCTTCCCCCCTACGAAAAGTTCATATAGTTTTCCAAACCTATCTAGTTTTTTGTGTGAAGAGATGAAGCCGATTTTGCTACTTTGTTAGAACCGCCATTAAGCGAGCTTTAAAAGTATGAATCGCTTTTATTTCCACTTTTGCTTTGTCACTGAGAAAACTCATGTTTTCTCAGTCAGGAGCGCAAAAATCGAGTTCTGTATGTAATTCTCAATTTTCTTCATCAGGGCTCAATTTTTGTGCAATAAAAATAGCATATTTAGCATGGGCGTCACAAACTGAATTGAATGGTGTACCTTTTTTAGTCTGTCCGACTACTCTAAGTTTTTTTGAAGTTTCACGTAGAAAACTTGTTGAGATTTTCACCAGAAAAATGAAAATCAACAAAAAGTTTCAAAATGTATATCATTCAATTCAATGAGAACACATGAATTTTCTCAGGGACAAAGCAAAGTGGAAAAAAAAGCGGTTCATACTTTTAAAGCTCGCTTAATGGCGGTTCTAGCAAAGTAGAATCGGCTTCATCTCTTCACACAAAAAACTAGATAGGTTTGCAAAACTATTTATGAACTTTTCATAGGGGGGCAGCCCAAGACGTCCATACTATATAGACCTTTAACTTCGACCTCGATCAGGTATCATTCTCATATTCAGAAATGGAATGATACTTGAAAATGGAAAAAGTTTCTGCTCCATTTTTGCATTATTGGCACCTTGCAAGGTGTTCGAGATATGTTGCCCCTTTATTAAAGCTTCCATAAACAAGTTTTACATAATGCACGAATGGAAGATATCATCAAGGATCGCTGTTAGGTCAACAAATACTTACTAATCAACTAACAGGATAAGTTTATGAACAAAAGGGACATTTCTATACAACAAAAAACATGTTTACTTGCTATCATCGTATCAGTTATCTGAATGTTGCGTAGAAATTTGACCCAAAACAATAAATGTGAATAAGAAACAAGCAAAAGAAACAAAGACACATATAAATAAAACAAGGATACTTGTGAGAGATTTGAAGATAGAAAAATTCGAATTGAATAAAAGTTCGTATAGCCTAGTAAAACAAAAATAACCTTTAATTACAATCTTTAATGTACATTCTGTTCGAACACTCACAAAGTACAGCATATAAAAATAAGACATATCACCATAAATCATAAGATCAAACAAATTAAAATTATTTATTCTTTGAAATGAGATATATATAAACAAAAATGTCGATATCTGGAATAGGTTTGAGCAAAATTTATCAATGACTTGGGAAGAAAGAACACAACAAAACCATCTGACACGCAAATCTCTATATATGGAAATATTAAAATGCATGAAAGATTTTCAGACTTAAGCACCATCGAACTATCCAAGTAAAAATAAACCCTCAACCGACATTTGAGCGACCGACGTTTGAGCTCCGACATTTACGCGACCGACACTTGAGCACCGACACTTGAGCGATCCCGACATCAGACACTTTTCAATATGACTTTTTTCCGATGAGAAAAATGAAATGACTGTTCACTTTGATAGCGATGATGATAACAATTGTAAGGATTTATGTAAGCCAGAGATGTGACAAGAAAAACTTATATCTCTGTGCCGCGGGAGGAGGGGCAATGGTGGTGGCTGTGAGTGAGGGTGAGGGGTTAGGGGTATAAAAAGGCAAACCAAGAAGAAGACATGAGCTGCCCAGTACGCGTTTCAGTTTTGTTCAGTGGCGTTGTCAGCTGGGTAGATAAAATATAAAGACGGTGTTCGTGGCACAAGTACACTGTTTTATGTGTATCGTATAGTACATTTTTGCAAGTTTTTATAGAAAAAATCGATGATAACAACTTTTTCAATGTATGAAAGAGACTGAGGGAGTCGCCCAAACGTCGGTCTCTCAACTGTCGGTCGCTCAAATGCTATACTACATGACAAAGTTACAACTTTGCTACAACCTTGTTATAACTTATAAGATTCTGAACTTGTTCAGAATCTTATAATCAACCACGTATACGGAAATTAAGAAATAAAAGAATACTCTCAACGAGTGATGGGCATATAATAGAGCTAGAGTATTTTAAACGCATTTTTCTGCATGAGAATTAGTAGAATGATTAAGGTGAGGGTGAGGGTGGTCTCACCCTCAAGCTGCCGCCTAAATTAGCAATTAGATCATCGATAATTGAAACTTTTCATGTACACTATAAAATCCTCTTCCTATTGACAGAAAAATAATCCAAAAGCATTTACGTTTTAACCGTACAAAGTATACATGACTAACATTGTACCGATTCCTTTAAAATTAGAACAAATATATCTAGTACATGATCTACAAGGTATAAGATTACTGGATTGGTAATGGCATTTTAAACACTAAGGAACAGCAACTAATAGTTGGTTATTTAAAGACCTCTCTTAATGGATAAGCATCGATAGTTATTCCATGCGTGTTTTTGGATTTTTTTCTGTCAATAGGAAGAGGATTTTATTATAAAATCCTCTTTTTATAACACTATAAAATATATTACACTATAAAGTACATGAAAAGTTTCAATTATCGATGATCTAATTGCTAATTTAGGCTGTAGATTAATCATTCTACTAATTTTCATGCAGAAAAATGCGTTTAAAATACTCTAGGTCTATTATATGCTCATTACTCGTTGAGAATACTGAAGAAAAATGAAGAAAATGACAATTCATATGGTCTAAAATGATGCCACTGTGTTATACACTTTTATTTTGAAAAAATGACAAACTAAGAAATTTTATGTTTTCGTCGAACTATTCATTCAGCTTATGCTAAAAAATGATAATATCCAGTGTGAGCTTCGAGTTTTTTCCCTAACGAGAAGAAAACATGCGCAGTGGTATTTCAAATTCTTCATCTAACCCTCAAGGTGGACGATAGTTACTTCGTTAGTGTGTCAGAATATCGAGTAACCAGGTATTATCTTCACAACTGTCCTGCTCTTTGACTTTAAGAAGAGAGATGCTGTTCTTATTTAATACTCTTTGATCATTCTTAATTCTAGTTCTTTTCTGTTATATAAGCATAGAACATCCATAGAGAATAATTTTTCTCACTTTTTTACACTAATCTGAAGTATACAACGTATACTTCAGATTAATATTGTAAAACTTGTGTACTACACAAGTTGTACAATATACTAATCTGTTTTTTAGAAAAGATCCCTTGTAGTTTTCAAGAATATATCGTAATTTCATACTCAGTGCAGTGAACATTCCCATGAAAAAACGAATTTTTTCACTTCTCACTTTATTCTCTTTCTATATTTGTCTGTATAAAAGGGAAAGAAATCAAGCAGAACGAAAACCGACATTACAAGCAAATATATCAGTATATAGTACAACTTGTGTACTTCAGACTAATATAACAATTGGAGATGGACCCTCTCTAGTTAATTTAATTTTAATCTGAGAAGCTCGCAGAATATCGGATGAGCACTGCTTCTTTTGGACATTGAATAAATGAATATATAGATTAAAATAGAAAATTTCTTCTTTTCTATAAAGAGAAATAAAGCGCTGTGCACATATATACGAGCACAAAAGAAGAAAATATGAGACGGAAGAAAATAAGATCAAAGAAAAGAAAAGTGAACACAGTGTGTTTGATGTCTTCAGCTGAATATAGCGTAATATACCGTGAACCCTCCAACGGAGCCACCGGATCCAAAAAATGGAGGGGAGAGATCTTTGCGCCGTACAACGTAACTCGTCGCGCAACTTCCTATTGGCAATAGGAAAAGTCTATCACAGTCAATGTGATGCTGATTCAAAACACTTTACGTTGACACCAATAACTATTCATGTGGCTGGTCAATGTTTAATTTCGACAGGTCATTACAAAAGTAAAAGAAATTGGAAATTTTCAAGAGGTATGGAGACAAGTAAACGGAAAATGGTTACTGTATATTGTCATTGTCAATTAATTGTACAGTACAAAAAGCTCTTCTCTTTGTTGTCGTGATATGCATGCATTTGCTCTAGAGCTTTCAGATACAGTCACAAATTGGATACCACTAATATTATTACCCACATCATTATTGGTTGTAGAATCTAAGGCAAACGGATCAAAGTCTCCGAAAGATCGGGATCATAGCCAAGGAGTAGGCTGTCATGTGCTTACCTCTCTCTAAAGAAAACGTATATTAAAAAACCAAAAGGGTATTTCGTCCTGTCCACGAAGCTGACTTTGGTTTTGTATGAGATGCAAAAAGCCAAAACTGGTATCAAGACTGCTGCTAAACGGTACCCAAAGAAACCAAAGGGTATTTCACCTCTGAAAATACTCTTAGAGCATATTTCATTTCCGTTAGGATACCAAAAATGATTTAGTAGGTTACGAGTGATTGGTATCCCACAGTACCAAAATGGTTTTTGTTGTCAAAATAAAATACCTTTTTTATGAAATACCAAAATGGTTTTTGCAGGATGACAAAAGGGTATTTTCATTCTTAAAATAGCCTTTTAGGTCTGTAAGATACGGATAATTTTCTCAAAATACACAGAACGGTATTTTAAATACTGAAAATGGTATTACAGGATACATATTTCAACCCAGGTTTTTCTACACTTAATTTTTACGCCTTTTTTCATCACTAAATGACTTTCTAGCTATGAATTACCCAAAAAGATGCTTTTGCGAACTTTTGGCACAATTGATGGTATCAATTCGTCCTTGGATCTAATTCTCGTAGATTCCCATCACAGATACGTTTTTGTTTTAAGAACTTTTGAAAGAGCTGCGCGAAGTTTTGATGTTTTTTGAGTCTCTGTATCCGTAGATTAATTCCACAAAACGCAACTTTATCGACTTCAATCGACTTTATCACAACCTCAAAGAGACAGATATTTTTAATCGATAAAAAAAGTTCTATAAATAGTATTAAAACTTATTGCATCGAAATATATGCATCTTCGGATATAGTCTGTACTTCTGAGGATTGTCCAATGCTACTTCTAAAGCGTCTTCTGTTTTTCCACTTAGTGCGAGCTAAATGAATCGCTGTATCGTCGAATAAGTTTTTTTATCTAGTTCTTTTTGCGCGACGAAAGATATTGTAAATTTGGCGCTCTTGAGGACAGTTTGTAAAGAGCCTTTTTTAAAGGTAACTTAACTTTAAAAAAAATTGTATGCTTAACTGAAAACTTTGTGGTTTATCTGCACCGACCAAAAAAACCGAACGGAACCGTGGAAATATGTCGAAAAGATTTGAATGTAATGGTCATTTTCTGGGAAAACGGAGATTGCTTTAGAGAAGTGGAGTCAAACTAAAGTTTATTGAGGAATTGTATCTTTTTTTACTTTTTTAGGGGTGTATGATACTAAAGTGCTATATCCATTCACTCGTCCATTAGTGGAACGTTCATCTGATGACTTCAAACGTTTTGCATTAGAGGATAGTCCGCAAGATGATTGTTTCGACCATTATGGGATGTCTGTTATATCGGAATTATACGACCACGATCTACCCTCTGCAATTATGATAGACTATTTACATACGTCGTTATTAAGACAGACAAAGACTATCATCACACATTTACGAGAGCTGTTATCGATCAGTGAACTAGAGCGATTAGATAAACTGTTAAAACATCAATTGTTTCTCCATACTTTTAACCGTAGACTACCATCATGTCTAAATTTAGCCTATGTGAAAGGAAGTGAATTAAGAAATTTGTTGCTGTATGCTATGATACCAAGATTAATTGATTTTTTTGAAATAGAACTTGTCTCATTTTTGTATCTTTTCGTTTGTGGTGTTCGACTACTTCACGGATCGCCCGGTGTAGCCGTCGATCAATGTGTTCGACAACAACTATCATCACAGCTCTTCGACAACTATCAAAGTGAGTGCGGCTATAAACGCTTTACTCTAAACAGTTCTTACAGGTGAAAAACGGAACGGTGGCTAATTTAACTGGAAAAGTTGTGGATCCAGAAACCAGACACGGGCTAGATAATTCATCAGCTAATTCGTACCTATAAACGGAACTAAATTAAGTCATCTAAGGTAGTTTGATCCTAGGAAGCTGGCTCTGGGGCGAGAAGTCCTCTTTTAAGGGTATCCTCCCTCTTTTTTGAGTCGGCGATTATATTGCACTTGTAAATGGGATTGGGCTGAAACTTTTACCAGCTATTGGTTTTATCTATACCTCCACACTATTTTGGAATTTTTGAGTTTTGGACAAGTTTTTCGAGGGTTTTCTAGAAAATCTCAGTTCGATCAAACGAAATTTCGTGGGGCTCGTAATGTACCGGGGTTGCGATTCATCGTTCACGCTTGTTTACGTAGAAAAGCTATGAATCGGTCAGAATTGGACCAGGAACGCCGGGAACCATCGCAGTTTATAGACAACAATTTTCTGTAGAAAACTGTCGGCTCATACAAATTTTTCCGTTCTGTTAGAATGAAAAAAATTTTAAAAGTGAAGTTTTTTTATTTTTTTGCACATCAAGCGAAAATTTTAAAAGACTCATAACTCCGTAATGGAGGGTCGTAGAGGCTTGGGAGAGGTCTCATTTTGTAGAGCATCGTGCAATCTATACGACTATGCTCTCTTCTTAAAATCGAATTTTTTTATCAAAAAAGAGCGGTGGGGTACCCTTAATCCAGTTGCTTTGCTTTATTTGGCTGAAGATATGAATATGGCTGCGTTAAACTGATCATGTCGAAAAAAATCTCAAAAATTCTTAAAACTGTCAAAGTTTTCGTAATATTTTGGACGTTTTTAAGAATTCCTGCAGAGCCGGACAAGTCACGGGTTTTCCAAGTCAAGTCAAGTCGCAAGTCATGACTTGGAATTTTTATTTTCCGTAAAAAAATGCCCACAGCGAAGCTGGGCAGGTTACAAATCTTCTACGAGCTTCGACATTTTGTTTAGATACGATGTTTGTTTTTCGTATTTCCAGAAAAGATGTATTTCAAAAGATAATCATAAAAAAAGGCAATGCTCTAATGAGTCTAACATAGTTCAAAAACAAATCACATGTAAATAATACACACGTAGCACGAGCACTTACGGGGAACCTTTCGAGGTGTAACCTTTCGATTCCAATGATTTGTACATGGATCGATAGATCTCAGTGAGGTAGTAAATGCCCTAAAACGATTCGTGCCGATGACTCTTAAAGACCCGGTTTTCTGGAAAACCAGTTTTTCAGAAACTCTGAAAAATAACTCACGAGGGAACTTCCCCAACTGATTCCTCGCTTTTGACTCCGTCTTTTGGCCATAAGTAGATCTTGATGAGACTAAGAAAACTCTAAAACCGTTTGTGCTTATGGCCCTTCGTTTCCGAGATAT